ATTTCCACTCCTGGCTCGGGGTCAGCAATGGAGGTGACCGCCGGTGCAAAGCCAATGCTTAAATCGAGACGCACTTTGACCTTGTGTGTGTGTTCAGCTAATCGTTCATAAAGATAGCCATCACGAATTGTCCATCTGCGCTTGCGGGTTAACACCAGTGTGGAATCAAGTCGTAATAACACCAGTTTGGTCCACCCTGACAGCACATGCAAGTGTGACAACATTCGCACGTGGAAATGTGTGCGTCGCTTGAATGTCCAAAGATGGGCTCTGTGATGGCACGGCAGACGTCAGTTTGGGCAGCTGCTTATAGCGCGCCTGCTTTCGAGAAGGTCGGGCACGGCGATACAAATAAGGCAGAGTGGGGGGGGGGCGATTTGCTGGTCGAGCGATGACACGGTTAAGGGAACAGGAAATGCAAATGTTGCCATAATTACATTTTGTGAGCGCTTCCATTAAAGACCTAGAAAGCTCCATCTGCATCGCCTGCCTGTCGCACAGTTATAATTATGACACTAAAATGATAGTAATTGCCGCCACTCTTTTAGATATTTTTTTTTTCTCCCACAAACACGTTCCGGTCCCCGTCGGAGTGTTTATGGTTGCACCTTATGCAAACAGCCGCCTGACCCCCCCCTCCCCCCGCAAGCTATCATCCAAAGTGATGACTGTTTATTGAAATTGCCGTGCCTTTCCCAGGAATGGATTTTGAATTGGTCTCGGCAGAAGTTCAAGCGGTTGTTACGTTCGTTTATTTATTCTCTTTAAGTACCGCACAGAAGCCATCCCTTTCATTGTGCTCGGCCGATGATTGTGTACACTACGCACCAGCCAGAGAAGGTGGTGTTTAGCCACAGTTGCCAAGAAGCTTCAAGAGAAACATGAGAGGCAATCCTTACAACGCACGCCGGGAATTATCATTTATATTTACGTGACGCAAAAATAAGAGGCAGTGCTTAAAACAAAGACTGAAAATACCCATTTGTCATTGACAAACAATGCCTCCCCACCAAAAGTCGTACAAAAGGCTTACGTTTTTATTGTCAATAATGGTGCAGCAGAGGAGTGGAAGGCAAACATTGTGATGGTAGTGAAATGTATTTTTAGCCCGTGCATGTAAACTGCTGCTAACTTAGTCCCTAAAATGTAATCTGAAAGTATACACATTATTTGCTACATATTGGACTCGTATTATATTTTTTTATTCGGAATGTGTTTATTCCAGACTGATACATGGCGATGTTACATCTCATTTACATGGACATACAAGACCACATGGGAATATATTTTGTTTTCAAATTATTAATTGTGGGTAATTTTGAAATTTAAGCAAACGCATAAAAATGCGATGATTCTGAAGACTTGTTTCTGCTGATTATTTAAGCTCCAATTATGGCTAATAATATTTTATATTTATAGAATCCATTCCCAAAAGATGGTTGATCTTTTTACTTTTTAATTTATGTGGTGAAATAGTGCTGCCAAGTCTGTGCATTATATATTGAAATAAGCTTCTCGTAGTTTTTGTGGTCATGCTAACGTCATATTTATTTGACGATATCTTGCTCCAAATAATTTCACATGATCATTAAGAAATAACTATGAAATGAACAAAAATTTGATTTTGCTTACCGAACTTTTACAGGCAAATCCTGTTTTGTATGTTTGGTAAAATTCTTGCTCAGTGTATTTTAGTTGTAGGAGGAACTTGGAAAGCACAGAAACAAAATCCTGACACAGAATGGAGGAAAACTCAAACTCTGCAAAGTTTGGTCTCGGAAACGTGAATGTGAAGACGCCTCCATGCAACTTGTTGCTTTGCTGGTGGAAGAGCAACAGAACTTCATTTTGCGATAACCCACTGGTGTTAATAAATTATGTATGTCTGTTGAATTTATTCATACTGTATGTAGCCAACCGTGTTCATCGGAGGTGTGGGGGAAGGGCAAGCAAATTAACACAAAAAGTAGTTCTAAAAATGTTTTTTTCAATCGAGATTTGGATTTAGATGCATAGCTTGAGTGGCTTCCTAATGAGTTGGCCACGCACACACGTGCTTTCTCGACCGCAAATGGTGCGATTCTCATCATAGAACAGTTCACCCATCATTTCCAACTGCTGCCCTGTGCCTTAGGAGCTTTATGTGGATAAGCGGTGGCTGGTGATTGCAGTGAGAGTTTGGTACTGCCTCCTGGAGACCAGCTAAAGTACATTGATGGCTCTGCTAACTGCACACAAGCTTACATTCTTAAGCGGTTGCCATATTCCCTTCAAAAACCATAACATTCTACAAGTTCCCATATAACTTATCTTCAAAGATAATCATAGACTACTTGTTTGGTCTAAACAAAAATTCGATAATTCCAGCAAATATCTATTACCTCCGTTGACTACATACTACACATTTTTACAATATGTAACTCTACTCTAAACTCACTCTTGTGTTCCCTGCAGAACACTTCTATCCAATTATTTATCCCAATCAATAAAACACTGCAAAGCACTCTGCCCTGGATCAAGTGATCAGATCTATGATCTATGATCTGATCACTTGGCGGAAACAATTTCATTCAAAATCACCTGATTGGGTTTGGATATTACTTGCTGTCTAATGACATTCTTAGCAACTTTTAAGTCAAAACCAACGTCTAAATTAAGAAATGATATAGCTGATGGCAATGACAATAGGAGCCTCGCACAACAATTGAAGAACAAAGGCCCAATTCCTTACCTGGAGAAGTAATTTGTATTATGTTAACAGTAATACAAGTCATTTTGTAATCAATACTCATTCAGCATCATCATCAGCAGCCATGACCTTTCAACTGCTGGATGGTCTCCCTACACCATCGACCAACGTGTGCCAATCTCACCGCTCCATCAGTCGTGTCCATCAGCGATCACCGCCGCAGTGAACGGCCACATTCAGCCATCGTTATATTCGTGGAGCCCCCGCTGTCAAGAGTTCGCTGCGCAACCGAGTGAGATTCACGGGCGCGGGAAGGTGCGGCACACGGGGCTGACGCGCGAGGGAGCGTCGTAGCGCGCTGGGCACGACGGCCATGTGTGAGTGTGGGCTCCTCTGGCCGCACCGAGCGCCGCTTGTGCCAGGCGTGCACCCGGCCACGTGCGCTGCATGTGACTGAGCACGCAGAGGCACGTACGGCCGCAGCCGCAGCAGCAGCAGCGGCAGTGGGACACGGGGCGGGTGAGCGCAACGGTTTCATGGAAAACTGCGATGCGAGGATCCAACAGATATGTTCCACAGATGTGTGTCTCGAGCACTTGCGGTCGATCGCGAGGACCCCCGGGGCGGCGCTCGCTCACTTTTTGCTGTGCACAAGTGATTGGTGCGCCTCCGATTAGCACACGCTTGGCTATGTACGGTGCGAAAGAAGTTCAATGTATATATAGTGTAAGTGCTATGGCAGTGGTTGCGCTCGGCTTTTATATTTCCAGGTAAAGTCCACTGAGCTATATAGCTTTTTTTCCGAATGGGGCCTGGCCACAAATTATACCGCAACGAAGTGGCTTATCACGTGGAAAAGTATAGCAGTCAAAAAACTCCGAAAGTCATGTTTCTAAATGCGGAGAGATAAACCAGAGGCCCCGGAGAAAAATCCACGCGACCACGGGGAGACCATGCCAACTTCAAATATGCAGGCGTCAGCATCGGGATCGAACCCATGGTTTCCTGTAAACCAGGCGAGGGAGTTAACATCGCGCCCACAAATCTGGATTTTGTAAATGAAATAATAAAATATGGATGCGCCAAAAATCAGCCCTGATGAAAACTCTTGAAATTTGTTCACTGTTTTGACTATTTATACAGTCTTACTTTATTTTTTTAATGCTTTGAAATTAACCTATCCATCTGGGTTTTCTGTCCAAAAAGTGAAGCTTCAAGTAGCCATATTTTGTAATGTGTATGCAGGAGAAATCCAATGAGCCATGAAGCTCTTTTTAACAGATGTCTAGTAATGTGGTACCTCAGTCCCAAGACTGTTTTCTCATTGTGCGCTGACGAAACACCATAGCCTAGACGTTATCTTCATGTAAGTTTTTTTATGTTAAAAGGCAGTTCCTGTAACTTATGATGATGGATTGGTGTTTTCAGAGTAAGAAAAACGGCCCTCAGCTGCTATGGCGTAGGTCTCGATTCGTTTCAAAACTCTCTGTCCACATCATGAATACTGATGCTTATATGTTTGACACGATCCTGCACACTATATCATCCTGTTTGTCTTTTTTATTGTCTTTATAGAGCTTTGCTGAAATAAATGTAAATCAAAATAAGTTTATCATTTATATCCAATGGGGTTTGTGACTTGTGTACAAGAACTCTAGATAAAACCACTGTTAGACCGATGAACCGATCGATAATTTTCACCAGCAAAGCAGATTTGTAAGACTACTGGTTTTCATAAAATGTTAATAAAAATGTGTTTTCAATTAAATTAAGTTTTGGTGGTGTTAAGAGCGCAGTTATCGCATTATTGGGATTGCTTTGTGATGGTGGAATGCTTGCTTTAGAGGGAGAGATTGTGCCATCGGGTTCCAGACTGGATTTTGTGATTACATGTTGGAATAAATGTTGTTTAAAGTAATTGTTCTTCAATCATAATTTCTACAAAGATTTACCTAGTTGTCTGTCTGCGAACCTGTGCCTGCCCATTAGCTACATTTTCCGACATATCTTGCATATATCTCACGTCTATCTGTGTGTTTATATGTCTGTATGATGTGGGGAGCCAGTGGTGTAGCGATCAGCACGCTGTGCTAGGAACCCGGCGACCCGAGTTCGATTCCCGCTCACGGCCGACACCAGTGATGATTATTTGAACTGGTCCTGGGCCTCCACTAGGTCTATTCGGCCTCAAATGAGTACCTGGTGCAGTGTGTAACCATCGCTACTAGGGAGACAAAGGCGGCCGGGCGTAGTGCTGGCGAACCAACCCCCTCATGTGCCATGCCGGCTTTCATAGGTGCTCGCAAACAGCACTTGACCCTACAGTCTGTTAAAGATATACGGGGGATCCTTGTATGATGTGCAAACACCTTTCCATAAATCTAAGCTGAAATTCATAATTTCATAGTGCACAGGTGAAGCTATACGGCTTCATGCCATGAAAAATAGGATAGACAGCACAACATAATAATGGGCTTCAGTGGTTATGAAAAAAATCAGTGCAAGCATAGATAGCTTGCACTTGGAAATGTAACGTTTTGCAGAGGTAAGATGTTTCGCATCATTGTTACAATGCATTTGCTTGGTAGAGAGGCAGTGTTTTCTTATTGAGACGTATTGCAAAACGTTTCTCATCTTATCAAAAAAACCTTGAGAACTGAAGTCATCAATGTCGAAACTCATGTGCTAATACTCGAGATACACGACTCGCACTCCACACACAGACTAATGACGATGACAATGTTTGCCAAATGCCTTCTGCGAAATCCACACATTTAACAGATAAGTTGGGCAATGGGACCTTCACGTGAGACGAAGTGCAGCTGCTACCACAGGGCACGTGAACCAGACAGATATCACTGTGGACAGGGCCTTTACTGCATATTAAACTGACCAGGCACACTGCAGGCGGCAGATTCAAAGCAGGCTCAGATTAATGAGCCAAATACACTCTCTTTGTGTGCTCAGGGCCATTGTGTGCTTTGGGGCCTTGGCAGCCAGTTCCATCAGTAGAGAAGAAATGTCTGATCCTGTTCTGGCAACGTCCAACTGGATGTGGGTGCCATGCTCCCCTTCAGGCTATCCCCAAGAGCTTTGCTTAAAATGTACTGGGTAGAAAGCAAGAGTTTCCCAAGGCCTCGGTGGGAAACGATGCCTTGAGAAAGACCCTCCCCCCCCCTCACCTTGCCCCCTTTGGTGCGTTGCTGCGTCACGGGGTGGAACGTCGTCCGACATGGGTGGCTGTGTGGGTGCTGAGAATGACAGAAAGGATACTTGTGGTAAAACTGAACTACAGCTTTTACCGCGGAACTCAAAGGCCTTGGGAGAACACCCACGCCAGTATTATTGGAGACGCCGAGGTCCCAGGTGCACTGAGCCCATCTGTAAAAGCATGTAACCCACCCACACCTTCACATCTGTAATTTCAGGGTTTGCGCATAGGTTATTGGCTGCTCTTGTGTTTAAACATTTGCAGGCCTACTGTACATGTCACATGCATTCATTGTTAAGAAATTTAATAAATGTGTGTTTTTTATGATTGACATTATTAATATGACCTGTTCTTTAAATGTTGTTGAATAGAAAGCGTAATAGAATCATGCCTGTTCACGAGGGTATAAATAGTCACGTCAAAATGTTACATGTTTTGTGTTATCTATCACGGACTATTGAGTAAACTTGGAGAAAACTGCGCACGTTTTCAAGCGTGTCAAGAAATAAAAGATGATGGAGAATAACTGTATATCGACAGAAATGGAAAAATGACGCTTCTAAGTGTATGCAGGGAGCATCTATAACTACTTGCCATATTGGAAACTCCACATTAGTGTGGTGTACAGCTGTACCCACATCAATGTAACGCGCATATGCCGATGAATATTAACAAAGTCAGTAAAATAATGTTTTATAGTCCATCAAAAATACGTGTTTATTAGCCATTAAAGACGTTTTTTGGGAATAAACAGATAAAGGGTAACTGGTGTAGGCCAAAAGGAGATCTGCTAAAGACTTCTGCAGAATGACTTCTGAAGTACTGGTGAAGTTCTGTTAGTCAACTGATGGAATCATTTGGAAAGAATGCTAAAATAAACCTTGAAGGCCTCACTAAGATGAATCGTGCAAATCTCAAAATAGGCCAGTTGACGGACTAGTAGAAGGTCTAGAGGCCTGAAAGTTATTTGTTGTGGTGTGCAGATCGACACATTTACATTGAAAATATTGCTTTCATCATCACACTGTTACATACAGTGATCACAATGCTGCAATACATTATATCCAAAGCATATAATCACAGATGATGATGATTGCTTGTGTTGCAGTCGAAACGTCGTGAGAATTTTATTGTTTGATATTTTTATTATTTTATTGTTTCCCTTCTACGTGACTTTACCGAAAGAACCAATAATAATAACGATATGCTTTGGCTATAATGTATTGCAGCGTAGTTTTATATATATTTTTATTTTATTGTTTCCCTTCTACGCGACTTTACCGAAAGAACCAATAATATGAATCCCTGCAGTCACGAAAGCTTTAAATCAAAACATATAATTATTCTTTGGTTCTTTCGGTAACGTCACGTAGAAAGAGAAAATGATCAATTATAAATATAATTATATTGAGCAAAGTATTATTTTTCATTTCAAATTACTTGCTTTACATGTTTTCATACGTTTATTATAATTTTAAAGGCCATTGTAGTTTTATTTTTGCATGTTTCCATTTCTAAGCATCTTTATTTCTGAGATGTTAATAATGACGTTATGATTTTGAGTTAATGTGTATATGCCAGCTGATGCCAACTCTTTCAGCCAATTGATAATCCACTGCTTCAATTAGTGTGTCTCCTAAAAAGACGATAGCTATTCCTTCACCCAACTAGTCCATCAGTCAATAAGAGAATCAGTCAAAGCCAGGTGACAGTCAACACTCTGAGATATGGTATTTTGTAAGAGGCGCCTATGGGGGCCGTCCATAACACGATACAATCGCAATAGATTATTACCTAAATAGTAGATACACATTTAGTAGCAAGCACAGCAATCACAGTGAGTATAAGATACCTATACAGATGCTCAAATGAAAACTAAAGCTTTATTACTAAAGCAGCAGCAGCAGGAAGAGCAGCAACGAAAGCCAGTTATTCCCAACGCAGGCCCGCCCGTGACGGCGCGCACGAGCGGGTGGGCGATTCGGTTATCTCGCGGCGTGCGCTCCGTAGGTTTAAAACGACTCGCTAATGTGGCGCAGGTGGGAGCGCGGTTTAAACTCCCAGAGAGCTCCGCCGACGGACAGGTGCTCGAACCAGGTGGCTGGAAGCAAAGAAGTTCGCAAATCAAATTACTTGAGATTTATACTCGGTGGTGGTGGTGGGTGGGGGTGGAGCGGCAGGCAAGCCAGACGGGGTGGCCCTCTTCCACACACACGGATGAGCCCGGAGTGAGCAGGTGTAAAGCTCCCTCACTGGCCTGGGACCAGAGTGAGCCTCGACGACTCTGCCAAGTCTTTACGTCATTTACAAATCACGCGATCTCCCGGGCCAGGAATTATCCAAAAAAAGGACAGCCGTCCATTTGGCAGTGTCGTTTAAAAATAACAACAAATATAAGTAATTTTGTTGTCTTGAAGTGGAGTGTGATTGTCTAGATAAATCCATTGAATCCATCGGTTGATACCACAATTGACATAATTTAATAACAGTGCCAACGAACTAATCCCCACCGAGGTTAATTGTGAGACGTCATCAGTAGTTTTATATTGGGTCTGGCCCCCGCCCTGGAATGTGGAATTTCCAACGTTAGTTAAGGCCCAGCAATGTAGATGAGCATGGACACATACAATGGACTCTCGATAATCCGCGTGCGGTTTATCCAATTTACGGTTGAACCGCGCACTTGAGATTTTGACATAAATAAATTACTCATGGATTTTCCCTTCAGCCCTAATATAATAATCTAAAAACAATTATACATTGTTATTTTCAGAAATGTTTATTACGAGTCACGTGCTTAAACTGAACAAAGATGTTATTCAGGTATTCCTAAATCCACGTGATCACCCCTCTACAGTACAGTAGTTGCATATCTTTACAACAGTGGGCGGAGTTTGATTTTGATTGGCGTGCATCTTAGTGGGTGGAGTTTTCTGCACGGGAGCAGGAAAGTGTTATCACGGAGCACGTGCATCGATCGGTCAATCGTTAGCATACCTATATTAGTGATTTTTGGCATACAGATCCGTGGAAAATGGTAATATTTTTGGTTAATCCACGATTTTTCATTATCCGTGGCCATCTTCCCCGTCATTAGCGCGGATAATCGAGAGTCTACTGCATTGCTTTCTACGTTTGACTGTCCAAGAACAGTTTTTCCTGTGCTATAAAGATATTGCTATACGTATGATTTTGTGACGTTTAAGTTAATTGAATATTATTTTCGAACTTGGGACAACTTTGACACGCACAACGGCAAACCTTTGTCTCTTTGACAGCCATTGTATAGCAGACGCCACGCTGTAGGAATTCACCTCGGAAACTAATGGCAGAAAATAGATTCAGGGGCACCATCATATTGTAATGAATAGTTAAAACAATGTGCTAACTATGGGTAAGTTTAACCCATTAAAACAATGGGAATGTTTCTCATATCCCCCAAACCCCCGTCCACCTCTGTCCACCCAGTAGTATATATATATATGGGTAACCACAGTCAGGTCACGTGTGCGGTGGGGTAAAGTGTGGGTACTTCCAAGATGTCTGGCCCACTCTGAAAGAGTTTGATCAAAATACCCCCCCTTTTGAGCTCCCGCTCGTTGGAGGTCTTTTTTCACCAGCAGTGGCATGAACAAAGCAGGTTGCAGAGATGCCCCTATCGAGATTCAAACGGTGCTGAGTGAAAAGTGGCCCCCACGGTCAGCACACAATAATAGGCCGCCCAGCCACGTCCCCCTCCCCCCCCCCCACCTCTTTTTAAATTTGCACTCCAGCACAGTCGGTACGATGAAACGATTGGGGGCCGTCAGTAAATGACGTCACGCACCTAGGAGGGGTGGGGGGGGGTCAGACATTGGTGACGATGTGTGACGATTGGGGTGGGGGGGGGGGTTGAGAAATGTGACGTCACGTAAAAATGCGCAACTTTAAATACATATAGACAACACGTTCTAATTAATTAAATACACTTTTTTAAATAAATGTTTTCTCCTACAACATCAGAGTGCAGCGCCACGTTAAATACGCACTACATTGACAATAGTTTAAAGCGATTTGAAGAATGTGCTTTTTGGGGGGGGGGGGGTGCAGAGCTTTGTGACGTCATATTTGAGGGGGGGGGGTCTGACTTTTTGTGACGCCGTGTGACGAGGGGGGTGGGTGTCAAAAATCGTTCAAAATCGCGTGACGTTATTTATGGACGGCCCCAATTGGCGACATTTTTCAAGTAGATATTTTCCGTGTAAATGTCGTTGTTTTATACAAATTATGGCAACTCCGTGCGTGCTCTTTACAGCGTTTCACGCTCTTGGCACCAGCATTTCAGTTGCTCGTTCAAAACAAGTTTTTGAACCTGCGAGGCCAATATATGGGCACTATTTTGCTGTTAAGCATTTAATGTTCATCCAGGGACATTACGCCGTTAGACGCAATTACTCCCACTAATAATGCTCTAAAGGAAAATTGCCGTCGTTCGCTTTGGTTTTGCCTGCCCATTTTGATTGTCAGCCCTCTGAATTAAAAGGCCTATACAAGATATGATCGAAAAGTGGCAGTTTAGTAGAGCTGTTTGGCTCTTGAGGGGACAATACACCACTGTGATACTGTCTCGCTTCTACGTTGAATGGCGGATGGTCAGTGTCCTATGGCTGAACTCTAATTGGAGAGAGAGTGCATGTGCAGACGTATTCAATCACAGACGCAGAACACTCTCTCTCTCTCCAGCAAACACACGCAACACACTCACATGCTCTGACACACGCGCACGCACGAGACAAAGATCCCCCTAATAGCCTTCACAGACTTTTGGGGCAAGTGCTGTTAGCGAGCACCTATGAAGGCCGGCACGGTGCTCAGCACCACGCTTGACCGCCTTTGTATTCGCCAGTCGCAATGTTTACACACACCTCACCAGGTTCTCGTTTAAGGCTGAGTCGACCTAGGGGAGGCCCGTTGACCGGTTCAGATAATCGTCACTGGTGTTGACCCGTGAGCGGGAATCGAACGTGGATCGCCGGGTTTGTAGCGCAGCGTGCTAACCAC